TATGTAAGTATGTATATGGTGGAAGCTTTTACTATTATACCTATTGCCAATGGGGTCATAAGGATCTCATGTCATCTACAACAATATGTGCACGCTCTAACACATTCAAAATCTGCACAAAAACGAACTCACATAGGATATAAACGAGTGGAATGCTTTCGCAGAAGCCCATGACGTGGCTGTCTTGGGTGTGTTTGAGGATCTTAGTGGTGAATCGGCACAACAGTTCAAGACAGTGGCGGATATCTCCGACGATGCCTCGTTCGCTCTGTCTTCTAGTATTGAACTTCTAGCCGAGCTAAAAATCGAATATGCCGGTGTGATTCTGGTGAAGGCAGACGGTCGCAGTGACTACTCGGGTGATTTGAATGCCGAGGATCTCAAGAGATTTGTGACCGTTGAATCAGTTCCGTTTGTGCATGAATTGACGCTAGCAAGCTCTGAGAAGATATTCACCATGCCTATAAGGAAGCACATGATCTTGTATCATAAGGGGTCAGAAGGTTTGGCGGATCTGAAAGCGTGCTTCAGGGACGTGTCGATGGCGTATGCGGGCGAGGTGCTGTTCGTGACTGCGGACACTCAGCTGGAGTTCACGGAGAACTCTATGCCGTACTTTGAAGTACAGAAGGAGTCCCAGGCCAGCCTGCGGGCCGTGGATCTCGAGGCTGATAAAAAGTACCGAACTGTTGGTCCTACCACGTGCCAGGCCATCACGGATATGATAGCTGGATATTTGGCTGGGTCACTGGAACATATGGAAGACGCTGAATCAGACCATGGCCACCACGAAGGGAAGGATGGTATCAAGGAAATGCCTCTGCCGTCCGATTGGGATGCTAAGCACTTGAAAGTGGTTGTAGCAAGTAACTTTGAGAAAGTTGTGCACAACCCCGAAACGGCCGTTTTTCTGAAGGTGAGTTCTGAACCTTTTCGTGTTTGTTTACAGATGTTGGCAGCTTGAACCGATACACATGTGTATCGGTTCAATGGATGTCAGCTATCGCCACATGCTAGTTGATGATATTAGCTACATATATATATACAGTACGAGAACGGCATCTATCATGCACATCATTCATACAATATTAAAAACGTGTTTAGATACATGAACATGCAGAATCTACTATACATATATTATATAAATACACTTATATGTACATATGTACAAGCAGGTCCAAACTCGTGACCGATACACTGTCGCATACGTGACTTCACATATGATACATGTCTACAAATACATATGCACACTGATCCACATTCATGACTGATTGAACTACCACCTACATACACTAGTATATGAATTTTATTTAATATATACATACACATGCTGATCCACGCTCATCGACGATTGCACCATCACATCTATCGTTATATCTGATGAGAATCTACATAAATATATGTACATGTGCTGATTTATCTCGTCACCAATTGCACTACAGTTATATGCCGAGTGGTGCGGCCACTGCCAAAGGCTAGCGCCCATTTGGCAAGACTTAGCCGATGTGTTTGCGGCAAACGATGGCCTTGTCATTGCCGAGGTTGACGCGGATAAAAACACGGTACCCGTTCAGTTGGAGGGTTTCCCAACGATATTGTACTTCCCTGCAGGTGAGTGTATCGGAGGTTTATGGACACCTGTACTCAATTATGTTTGTGATGATGACTTTAGTGTTTGAGTGCCGCTTTAGACTCTGACGGCACTGTGCGGTCTATGTAATACTTTACTACTAGTAGGCTGGTGATGGTGTGTTGCACAAGACAGCACATTTGGTATGTGTCGGGTGGCCAGCACTTTGGACTCTGACTTTCTAGAGGCACATATACGTATACGACTGGTTGAAGTAGACTAGTACATCGCAGCCGACGTCCCAATATATTCAATGCCAACTGTACATATGCTGTAGTAGGTGATATAGTGAAACCATCCGAACTAGTACAGCAAGTACTTGCGTTTTTTATTAGTATATAAATGGCAATTTCGTTTCTAATCACATGAATGCGTGTATCATGCCAATAGGTGAGGCAAAGGAACCCGAGGAGTACAACGGCGGTCGCGGTATCCGCGAACTGACCGAGTTCCTGACTGCGAAAGGGTTTGCACCGGACGAATTCAGTGAGTTGGAGATGATGGCTGGCTTGGATCTACCAGAGCCAGACGAACACAATGTATACCACCTGAACGACGACAATTTCGACGACTTCATTGACGACCATGATATAGTTCTGGTGGCCTTTACAGCCGCGTGGTGTGGGTATGTATAATGTGTACGGTGCTTGTGGATGTACCAACTCCTGTGCTGTGCGCTTCTGTATATTACGTATAATCGCTTGAGCAATTTGGCTTCGTGCTTGGACTCGGCTGTGATGCCGTTTCTAGGCTGGTATCGTAATGCTGAATGTCGCCTGGTAGGTGCTCCTTTGTGTCGTAATTCATGCAAGATGTCCGCCTTCGGTCTGAGTTGGGCTGTTGTGTGGGCAGTGGGGATGTGTCCACTGTGACCCATACGGCAGCTGTAGTGCACCTTCAAAAGTCTCGAATACATCGTTGCTTCCTGCGGTAACTTAATATACAGCTTAAATGAGTATTAATACCTCGATATATCGTCACACTGGAATCAAGCATAAGGCGCGACAACTACCTGCAATGATTGGATGCGCACCCTCTCCTTTCTCAGTTTTAACCTAGAAATAATATACATTTCCTTCCATGCAGACATTGCAAAAAGCTCCACCCGGAATGGAATGAAGCTGCTAAGTACCTGGCAAAGGAAAACTCAGAAGCCAAACTGGCCTGGATCGACGCCGCAAAGAACAAGGAGATTGCTGACGACTATGATATTACATCATATCCCACCCTCAAATACTTCCGCCACGGGATAGAGTCCGATTACCATCTGGGCACCGAAACGATAGAGATAGTCAGCTTCCTTTCCCAACAGAGCGGGCCTCCGGCTATGCCTATCGACAGCGTAAAGGAGTACGACGATGTTGTGACGATTAACAATGTGGTGACGTTCGGTGTGTTCAGTGACCTCGACAGTGAGGAGGCGCAGGTGTTCGTAGAGTTGGCTGCGGGTTCCATCGGAAAATTCTGTATCACCAAGAATGCCGGGGTCAAGGAAAAACTAGGTTTATCCCCGGATGTGGAGCAAGCGGTGGTGCTGATTAAAAACTTTGATGACGGGCGGGCTGAATACGATGGGGCGCTCGACGATGTAGTGCAACTGAAGGCCTTTGTGAAGGAAGCCGGTGTGCCGCTGGTGATCGAGTACACGGAGAGTGTCATGAACATGATCTTTGAGAATGACGTCAAGACACACGTCCTCCTGTTCCATGACGACAAGGGTAGTTTGGATGCGTATGCGCAGTGCTTTGCGGAGGTGGCGAGGAAGCAAAGAGGCGAGATGCTGTTTGTGACTGTGGCGATCCCGGACGAGCACTCCAGTGGGCCAGTCAAGTACTTCCAGGTGCAGCCTTCGGACAAGGTGGTTATACGAGCGGTGACTACGGAGCCCGAAAACACGAGGTATTATCCCGTGACGAACGATATCACGTGCGACACCATTGCCAGCTTTGTACAGGACTTTGCCGACGGCAAAATCGAGCCGCAGAAGAAAGAGCCCAAGCCAGATGAGGATGAGAACGATTATAAAGAGGCAGATGGCGATGAGGATGCCGAGTGGGATGGTAGTGGGGTCAAGGTGTTGACCAAGGATACCTTCCATGCGTTTGTGAAGGATCCGAGCAGGGATGTATTTGTGCTGATGTATGCGGATTGGTGCGGGCACTGCAAAGCTATGAAGCCGGCCTTCAATGAGCTCGCGGCCATGTACGAGGATGTCGACGACGTGGTGATTGCAAAGATCAATGCGGATACCAGTCGCCCGGAAGGGGTTGCTATCGATGGGTTCCCTACACTTAAGTTATACTCGAAGAAAAGCGGTGAGCCGGTGGAGTACATGGGCCAGCGCAAGGCCAAGGACATGGCGAAGTTCTTGGCCAGTGAGGTTCGCGCAGAGGCAAGTCCAGCATGTGGAGAGACGGAGTCTGGTAAGAGTGCTGAAGCTGATACGCCACTCGTGTGGGCGTTCAGGTTAGACAATGAAGATGCCCTGTTCGCAGGACCGACACAGATGCACTACTTGTTATTCCACACGGATGAGGGTCTGAGCGAGTTAAAGGAGTGTTTTACGGAGGCGTCAAAGAAGTACCGCACATACATGCACTTTGTGACTGTCGATAAGATGTCTGAGGTTGCCGCTACGCCCATGAAGTTCTTTGGGTTGACCCCGAATACCAAAGCTGATCTCCGGCTGATTAGTTCAACGAACGCCGACACGTACGTGCCTACTGAAGAGGTAACATGTGCGTTATTTGCTGAGTATGCGCAGAGTTTTGTGGATGGCAAACTCGTGCCAATCTCTGACGAAGAGGGGCACGGACACTCTCACGACGACCAGCATGGGCATTCGAATGACGGGGATCACGGGCACTCGCATGACTCGCACGACGAGTTGTAACGAAATAGATATATAAATAATTAATGTAAAAATATATATATAACTAATACATCAATATATATTTATATATATATATATATTATATATGTGTGTATGTGTGTGTGTGTGTGTGCGTGTGCGTGTGTGTGTATGTAAATGTATATTCGCATATATATATGTATACAATAAATATATAC